CATTATATAGTGATCTTCTTTGTCTTTTATTACTTTTGTTCATTTAAAAACAGTTATCTGTAATCAGCACAGCCACGCCACCTTTCTTTTGGCTTCTGTTTGTTTGAAATATTGTTCTCCACCCCTTTACCTTTAGTCTATATGCGTCCTTGCAGGTTAGATGTGTTTCCTGAAGGCAGCAGATACTTGGCTTGTGTTTTTTTTTATCCATTTCGCCAGCCTATGTCTCTTGTATGGGAAGTTCAAGCCATTCACATTTATTGAGATAACTGATAGGTGGGGCAGATTTCTGTTCATTATGTTGGGTTGCACTTTGTTGCTTTGTTTTCTCTCTGGAGCCATTGAGGTATCTGGGCTTTGATATTTAGCTTTCAGTAGATTTACAGTCGTGTTTATTGTGCTGATCCGTGAGTAACACTGTTTTGAGTACTTCTTGAAGGGCTGGTCTTGTCTTGGTGAATTCCCTCAGTCTTTGGTTATCTGAAAATGTCTTGGTTTTTCCTTCATATACAATACTTAGTTTTGCAGGGATAAGATTCTAGGCTGGGCATTATTTTGTTTCAGAAGAGTGAGAATGAGGCCCCAGGCTCTCCTTGCTTGTAAAGTCTCAGTAGAGAAGTCTGGTGTTATTTGAATTGTCTTTCCTTTGTGTGTTACTTGCTTCTTTTGTCTTACAGCTCTTAGAAGGGCCTCTTCAGTTGATATTTTGGTCAGTCTGATGACTGATGTCGTGATGTTTTCCTGTTTGCATTTATTCTCCCAGGGGTCCTCTGAGCTTCTTGAACTTGTGTAGGGAGATTTTTAGCAAGGTCTTAGAAATTTTCCTCTATTATATTTTCAAATTATTTCTCCAACTGTTGAGTGTTTTCTTCTTCCCCTTGGCAACCCTATGACTCTCACATTTGGTTTCTTTACATAATCCTACATCTCTTTTCTCTTGTTTCTCTGCTCTATCTCTGTGACTGATTTATTTAATTGGAAGGTGTCATCTTCAATCTCTGAGATTCTTTCTTCTGTTTGATCTACCCTGTTATTCAGGCTTTTCACTGTGTTTTGTAGTTCCCTGAATTTATTCTTCATTTCCAGGAGTTCAGTTAAACTGTTCTTTATTGTATCAATTTCTTTAGTGAATTTTGTTCCAGATCCTGGAGTCTTTCTGTGTTTTCTTTGTGTTGGTTGTCCAGTTGTTCTTTTTTTTTTTTTTTTTTTTTTGTTGGTTGTCCAGTTTTTTTTTTTTTTTTTTTTTGAGACAGAGTCTTGCTTTGTTGTCCAGGCTAGAGTGAGTGCCGTGGCGTCAGCCTAGCTCACAGCAACCTCAATCTCCTGGGCTCGAGCAATCCTTCTGTCTCAGCCTCCCGAGTAGCTGGGACTACAGGCATGTGCCACCATGCCCGGCTAATTTTTTATATATATATATATATCAGTTGGCCAATTAATTTCTTTCTATTTATAGTAGAGACGGGGTCTCGCTCTTGCTCAGGCTGGTTTTGAACTCCTGACCTTGAGCAATCCACCCGCCTCGGCCTCCCAAGAGCTAGGATTACAGGCGTGAGCCACCGCGCCCGGCCTGTCCAATTGTTCTTTAAAGTCATTGAAATTTCTTATGATCCACATTGGAAATTCATCTTCTGTCATTTTGGTTGCCTGATTTTTGTTGGTGTCTGTTTCTAAGGGGCTGTTGCTCCTCTTTCGGGATATGGTTTCCGTTAGGTTTCTAAATATTTCCAGAGTTCCTTCGCTGATTTATTCCCATGTCGATCAGTTGTTGCTTCTTTCCTGTAGGTTTTCATTTGGGTATTCACACGCCTTGTTTAGTTTCTGAGTCGGTAGGTGGTGTCTGTGTGTGAGATTCCACCACTCCTTGTATAATGAGTCACTAGGTGCCGTGAAAAGGGTGTGCAGGATGTCCTTTTGTCAGTAGGTGGCGCTTCCTTGGCGGATCAGGCTATGCTGTTGTTTTTGTGAGCTGTGACCAGCTGTTGTTCCTGTAGAGAAGCACTCTAGTGCCTCAGGTGGTCGGTGGGGCCCTGGGACTTCCAGGTGTGTCCTTTTCTCCCTCTCATTGATGGCTGGTCTAGGTGGAGCTGGTTTGGGTAAGCCTGCCCTCAGGCACCACCAATGCTGTTAGCAGGGGTCAAAGTTCTGTTCTCTGCTTCAGAGAAAAGTTGTCAGGGAGGGGCTGGAATGGCCCCCACTCAGTCAGAAAGTCTGTGTGTGGGGCTGGGGCCGTCTGAGACCCGCAGTCTGGAGCGGGCCTCGGTCATTTCCACCCTCCCCATTCCACAGATACTCCTGGGCCTCTGCCAGCAGGCCAGATATCACACCACTGGGCCTCCCCTGGCTGTGATGCCTGGGGGAAGGTTTCCTGCGTAGGAACGCCACCTGGGCTGGGCACACGGCCTCCGTTTGGGAGGAGGGTTGCCCTCTAGGACGCTGATCTGTCCCTGAAGGCACAGTCACCTCAGTAGGCTGGTCCCGTATATCCCTTCTGTGCCCCGGGCAATGCGAGACCTGGGTGTACAGGATCTGATCTGCAGGTCTGACCTCTGGGCCCCAGAGTTCAAAGTATATCCCCACCAGGGAGAGGAGTCCCAGTCCCAATTCACCCACGGGGAGCCCAAGCTGGGTCAATGTCTCTCAGCCTCAGGGTCTGCTCCATTTTCCTGGAGTCACTGTGCCAGCAGCTCCTGGGAGGGCTGGCAGGTACTGAGCTCACCGTCTAAGTTTCCCTTAGCTGTAGGGCCCCATAAAGGAAGATCCCGTTCCCTGGAGGTGCCTCCGGCTGGTCATTATGTTGTCTTTCTAGGCAGCCACAGGTAGGGTCGGGGGAGGGGAGAAGGAGGCAATATGGTGCCTGCTGCAGGGCTCGGGTCTGTGCACAGGGAGGTGCCCCGGGGGAGTTGGAAGCCTGGTGCCCCATCCGCTACAGGCTCACCTCTCACTGTTGGTGGCTGTCTCTGGGCTGGTGTCCGCAGGTCTTTCTAACCTCTGGGGAGCCACCAGCAGTCTGAGATGTAAGGGAGGGGAGAGTTAATCATTCTACCTACCCTTGCTGCTGGTCTCCAGGCTGCTCCAGATGTCTCTACTTCCAGTTCTCCTCTTCAGCCTCCTCCCATGGAGTCTCCCGTAGTCTCAGGTACCCCTCCTTCCGGCCCTTGTCTGATGTATGCTCGTCTGCTTGCTTCTTTCTTCTGATTTCTCCTAGAATCTGTCTTTTCTGCATAGACACTCTGTCTGGCGGTGTTTCTAGTCCTCCATGTTGATTAATTGTGTCCCTTTTTGAGTTTTGATTAACTTAATTTTACCATTACTATACCATTAAAATTATGCAGAAAAAGTTTTTTTATGGTTTCTACACTCATTCTGTTGCACACATGCTGCTGTCTGATTCTGTGTCACCTAATTTACTCACTGATTCTACTGCTTTTGGAACTTGAGTTGATTCAGGTTTATTTTATGTTACTATTGACAGTGTCATTCTTCATTTTGTTCTCAAATGCTGTTTTTATAAATTTATCAACCTAAAGAATTAAACTGAGACACAAAATATAATTTTAAAGAATTTACTTGAGCTAAGTTGAGGACAGCTGACTGGAAGACTTGAACCCAAGTAACCTTGGATATAAGCTCTCTTTTTTTTTTCAAGTATGTTCTTAAAGGTAAAAAGCAGAGAAAGATTGGGCCAATAGAAAGTTACTTGTCAGGAGTTCTCATTGGTTTACTCAAACATTGATTAGTAATTGGCTATACATTGTTGAACTATATGATATAAATTATGGTGTCCAGGATATGAAATTATAAATTTATAGCAAGTTGTGGTGTCAGTAAGTCTAGAGTCCACATAGCAAGCAGCTTGAAGAGATGATTACTTAGCTCAAGGGTCAAGGGGTAGAGTAGGATATGAATGCTGACTCATTCCCATGACTCTCTGGGCCTAATAATTTACAGGAGGCTTATATTCCTTATATGAAAAAGTTCACTTTTTTCTAATTTTCCCCTTTTGATGAAATATCTTTTTGAAAGATATTTCAATATGTAGCATTAATAATTTTAATAGTAGAAATATAATGCACATAAAGATTATAAAAAGAGAATCTGTATTCCAGAATAAGAACAACACCTATTCCATTAGAGAGCCATCTAAAAACACCATGAAGAAAATTAAATCCAGGTTCTGTTTTAGAGACTTGTTGTAACCAGGTGGCTTCTTTTCAAATTCTTCCTAGATTAGTTTCAACATCATTGGAAGTATTTGTGTATGTTCAAGCAATATTCCTACCACACATACACCTGCTTGCTCAGCTAATATATAATCTAAAGCTATGTGACTACTAGTACAGCCTCAGCCAGTGCATCAATTGCTTTTTGTTGAACTGTGATGGAGGGAGCAATTTCATTAGTAGTTTTTCCTAAGGTTGATTTCTAATCATGGGTTTATGTGAAGTGTTACCCACAAAGGCAAAAGCATTCTCCCAATGAAATTCATGGAACTGTTTTTTTTTTTTTATGGCCAGGCAAATAATTAGCATTTTTCCTCAGATAGAATACCCATCTAAAATAGATTGGTGCTCCTGCCTAGAGAAAAGTTTGAGGAAGCTAGTCCAGTGTTGGCTTCTTTCCGGTTATCTATAGATAGAGTGGTGGCCAAATTGTGGGGCGCGGTGACAATGCCATTGCAAGATGGCGCCGGCTTCCTGGTCACGCCGATACTACAGGACTGATAAACAGGGTGAACCGCGCAGGTATAGGGGCTTTTCCTGTCTCATCAAGTATGCATATGAAGGATCTTAGCTTGGCCTATCAGTAATAACCCTCGCGCGCTTTTAACCTATCCCCATCACTTCCCTCCTTCCTTAGAGTATATAAGTGTGTGAGAGCTTGTGCTCAGCGTCTTCCGCATCATGTAAGTCTAAAGGGAACCCCATTAAAGCACTGTCAGAAGAACTCCAGTTGCCGCGTCTTCCTTGCTGGCGAGGCGGGCGCGACACCAAATATCCTAAGAAACATTGTCCTTCAATTTAGCAGCATAGGGACTGGCCAGTAATACCTGATATGATTTCTTCCAATGTGGTTGGAGGGACTGTTTTATTTAATGTCATTTCCAATAAAAGTTCTAGGTTGGCAGTCATGACTGTTGACATCTGCATCTTCTGGGAGCTCACTGTTAAAAATCCTTAATTAATTTAGATTTTTAAAAATGAGAAGCTTTCTAAGGCTTTTGCAATAATGTAGACTATTGTTTTAAAAAGAACTGGGTTGTAGGCTACTTCATCCAGGTCCATGGGCCTTCTCCTTATTATTTTAAAGAGGGGAAGCTGATGTTTTCCAAATATGGTAGAAGGTAAGTTAAACAATATCAAGCGAAGGGGCTTATGCCTGGGAAGGTGGGAAGTTTCTGTAAACTTTGCCAATTGATTTTATTTATTATTACATTTGTGCATTCTACCACTTCAGTATGCACAATGGAAATGCTTAAAAAAAAAAAAAGGCCATATATTACAAATATATTTAATTATTTCACTAGTGAAAGGGGTTTCTTGATTTTTGTGAAGCTCAGAAAAATCTTCCCAAGGTGGAATACAAGACTTAAAATGGTCATAGTTAAAAATGAGAGCTGCTCCTGAGGGAAGGGGCCTAATCTTATGATTGCTAAGGCCCCAAGCCAGGCTTTCTCCATCCCTATCTGCTAGCCTGATTTCTCTGAGGGTTGAGGCATGCACCCTCCCTATTTACTCCCTGGAACTCCACAACACTCTCCCCTTTGCCTAGTCCACATGTGATCCCTCTCCCTCTGAGACCAGCTCTGGAAATACCCCACAGGTTGTGTGCCTTATCCGCCGCATCTCCATGTGACTCTGGCGGGTAGGGGATCTTTAATCATGCACCCCTGTTCTCAACTGTACCCCAGGGTGAGATAGATAGGCCTGTCTTTCTGCAGAGGTCTCTGCCAGGAGCATACTCACAAGCAGCAGCTCACAAGTCTCTTGGATCAAGCGGCACTTCCTATACTAGTGAGTGGTAGGAGTGGCTAGTTCTCTGATTCAGGAAACATACCTGAAACGTTCGGTTGCATGGGAACCAGTGCCTAAGCCAATTCAGTCCAAGTGCCACTGCCTTCTCCAATGTGGCAGTTCTCCAGCCATGTTGGGGGATGGGCTTCTCTGTGCCCCTCCACAGCCTCCCATTGGATATGGCCACAAGGGCTCTCTTGCCACCCCACCTAGGAACTACAACGTCTCCGCCTCCCCACCCCACTCTCCCACCCGGTAGGCACCATGTGCAGCCTGCTTGTGTGTGCCTGCAGCCGGTGATCCCACCAATCGCCTGTGGGCAGGAAGATCACAGATGGGGCTGGCCTGCAGGCTCAGCTGGGAACGACCCCTTTGCGGTGGAGCAGGCCTCTCAGGACAGCTTTCTAGCCGATGCTGTTGTGGGGGCGCAGTCTTCCTGCACCGGCTTTGTGTCGGGCACGGGTCCTGCCTAGCTGTCTGTCCTGCTGCGGGCGGTCCGGCAAAGGGAGCCGTGGATCCGCCCCAGGCCGGTTGGCAGGGCCTGGCCGGTCCCCCAGAGACGGGCCTCCAGCGCAGAGCACTTTTGTGATTGCTACAGAGGGGAAGGGACTGTCCTTACAAGCCAGCACGAACCAAAATTAGTTTCTGGGATGCCAGGAATGGAGGAGGCGCAAAGGAGAGAGCGTCCAGATGCAAGAATGCGGCTCTCTTGTCCCTCGTGGCACCCTCCTGCAAAATGAGAGGCCTGTGTTCTGCTGCTGGCCGGGAGGGAGTCCCTTACCCTTTGCCTGGGCTCCGGGCCTGGCTGGATTTGGTCTGTGCCAAATTTGGTCTTTCTCTGTCCTCCTCTCTCTCAGCCGTGTAGCTCCCTCAGTGGGGTTCCCGGGCTTCTCTGCTGTCTCTCCCCGTGGTCCACATCTGAGCCTGATTGTTTTCCGCTCTCCCCAGTCTAGCCCTCTACCCTTCAGCCGCAAAGGTCTGGCGAGCCGTTTCTCTGGCGGGCTGTCCTGGCAGTTGTACTGCTCATAAGTTTTTAAAACAGAAAAGCAGATACAAGGAATATATATTTGGGGCCATTTTTTTTTTCTCATTAAAACCTCTAGATGCTAGAAGCATCCCACCCAGCAACCTGTTTTTCATTCCTGCAGATCCAGTAGTTGCTCCATAAGTTATAAAAAGGTAAATAGTAACACAGCAATGAAAAATTCCTCTGAACTACACCCCAGCCTTTTCTGTATCACTCCTATCTGTCTGTATTGAACTTTTATTTTGTATATTTTCTTCTTAAAATGACTGATAGGGAAAAAGAAGAGAAATAGAAAAACTGGGACTTTCATTTGAATCCTGCTTGGAATTTGGAGACACTTAGTACCTGACTCCCAGGTATTATTATGAAGATTAATTCTTATAATGTCATGTTCCCAGCACGGTGCTCTGTAACATACTTGTGGGCACATGGTACCTGCTTAGTAAACATTGCATTAATGCATATGTACATTTTGTTTTACAAACGTAAGTTTACTTAGATGTTGCTGCCTTCTCTATCCTTCTGTGAACCTTAAATGGCCAGCAAAGAATGTGATCTTTCATAACAAAATTTGTGTTGGGATAAGAGTGTTGGGCATAAGGGACTCTGTGTGCTGTTTCTGCTGTCTCTAGCTAAGTGCTACTGATAATGGGTCTAAGGAAAGTATCATCTGCATTTACAGTGGACTCGTTATAGAAGCCAATTTGTAGACCCCTTGCAAACCTGCGGAACTGCATTACTTGGAGTGGGACATGGAATACCAAAGGATTTATATGCACATAGAAGCTTGAGAGGCAAGAATTAGCTAGTGGTTCTCAGCCCAGGCTTCCAGTTAGGATGACATGGCCAATTTGAAGACATACCATCACTTGTGCCCTCCCTCACAGGTTGTTTTCTATGATTAGATTCAGATTATGATTTCATTTTTCCCCACCCATATTATAGTAGTGATTATGGTTTATCTGTGTTCATTGAAACCTGATGCCAATGTATCCCATTACAGTAGATGGTAACTTCGTTCACTTGGTTAAACGGCTCTCTGCCAGATTCCTTCACTATAATTATTTTTCTCTTTGTCATTAATGCTATCTTGGGGGACTTTACTGAGTGATGTGTATAAACCACCATATTTAATGCAAAAATTCTCCTTTATAATTTCCATTTTCTCATAGCTTGCGTGGGGGATAAAGGCTCTCATATTGTTGACTAGAGATGCTGTTTTTGAAATTGGTATATTTAAAACAGGCTTTCAATAGGTTTCCATTTTATTCTACCCTCATGTCACAAACATTACTCCTCTGTATTTTCAGAGAAAAGGAACAAGAATTAACATATAAATAATACATTTAAGCATCTTAAAACTCTAAAATACTACAGGGCCCATGGAATAAAACAAACTGAAAAATAATACAGGACTCTGAAATAGTAGCTCTTATTTTTGTTTATTTCATTGTGTGTGGTGGTCTCCACAGTATATTTCAAAATCGTCAACAATCGATATAAATTTTTTGCAATTAAATATATTTTTACACAGAAGTATTCTCTCACTTTTAATGTGTATATACTTTCCATTTCCGTGTATTTGTCTTTAGATAATGTAAGCATTATTTGACCAATTTTGTGTGCCTGACTTCTTAAATTGTTTTCATTACCATTCTCAGTTACGAAAGCTCCTCTGAACATTCTTTTGGGGTTATTTCTGTATATTGGCCTATATATCCCTTTGAGATAAATTCTAAGTGATATAAACTGGGTCGAAACCCAAGCTGTACTGTTTACTGGATAAGTGGCAAAATGTTCTCATAAAAGAGGAAGAATGCTATTTTTTCATAAATTATTTTTGTGGTTTTTAGCATTAATATATGAAAAAATTCTAGAATGGCATCTAATATGTAGTAAATGTTCAAAAAGAGTTGCTGCTATTCTTTTTTTTTTTTTGAGACAGAGTCTCACTTTGTTGCCCAGGCTAGAGTGAGTGCCGTGGCGTCAGCCTGGCTCACAGCAACCTCAATCTCGGGGCTCAGCGATCCTTCTGCCTCAGCCTCCCGAGTAGCTGGGACTACAGGCATGTGCCACCATGCCCGGCTAATTTTTTTTTTTTTTTATTTTTAGTTGGTCAATTAATTTCTTTCTATTTTTGGTAGAGACGGGGTCTCGCTCAGGCTGGTTTCGAACTCCTGACCTTGAGCAATCCGCCCGCCTCGGCCTCCCAAAGTGCTAGGATTACAGGCGTGAGCCACCGCGCCCGGCATGCTATTCTTGCTATTATGTTATAACCTGTATATTTCATAAAACTCTCAATCCCATGTCATCCATGAGTTCTTCCCTCAGTATTCTACCTCTGCTGTTCACAAGTGTGGTTTTTAGACCTGAGGCCTTGGCATCACTGGTGAGCTTGTTAGAAATGCACAGTCTCAGGCCTCACCCAGATCTCCTGAATCAGAATCTGTATTATAATACGATCTCCAGTTTATTGTACAAAATAAAATTTGAGAAATATGCTTCTAACTCACCATGACTTTTCCATCTGAAGAATATACACAACTGATTCTGTATGATGTAAATATAGCACTCAAAAATGTATTTTTGTGTGTTGATATTTTAGTTTTATATTTTATATTCTATATAAGCATAGTGTCTATATTAATATTGTGGATCATATATTATTCTCTTTCCACAGAGAATATCTTAAGGAATATTGGTGTGTTAAAATGTATCTTCTTGTGTAATTCAGGTCACTCATATATGTCAGAGCCAACATTTTTAAATCTCTCATTTTAAGAGCTCTGCTCATGGCCACATGGTCAATACTTACCTATTATTATTATTATGTATTTATTTATTTTTACTTTTTCAGGGACTGTTGACATTTAGGGATATGGCCATGTAATTCTCTCTGGCAGAGTAAGAATACCTGGACCCTAAGAACTCTGCCCAAGGCCACATGGTCAATGTGTTTTTTTAATTTTTATTTCAGGGACTGTTGACATTCAGGGACGTGGCCATAGAATTCTCTCCAGAGGAGTGGGAATACCTGGACCCTGCTCAGCAGGATTTGTATAGGGATGTGATGTTAGAGAACTACAGAAACCTGGTCTCTTTGGGTGAGAATCACTTACTTCCAGAATATTTAATGTATCCAAAGTGTTTTATTTCTTTCCTTTGTGAATTGTTTATTGGGAGCTTTTGCTTTGTATGAATGAGTTTTAGATTCCTGCTTTCAAAGAAAACAATTTATAAACATAAACTTTTATGTTTTACCTTGATATTTACCCCATTGGGGGGTGATTTGCAAATATGACAGTTTACTGGTGATTCTGGAAATGCAGTGACATAAAATATTTTTGTCTGCACCTTAAAATCTAATTATATTTTTTAATTTTTGATTCAGTCATAACTTAAAATTGAAGCACAGGATCCACAAATTTAAAATGCTTCCTACAGGGGCTGTGAGGAAATAGTATTTTGGAAAATAATTTTCTAGAATCTTTTATAGTATTCTCTCTTCTCCACTGAGTTCAATACTAAGTTGGAAGTTGAAGAACCCCAAGCAATCTTCATGTGTCTTTTTCTAATAAAGTAGAACTTGCCATCTCTAAGCTGGACCTGGTCACCTTTTTGAAACAAATGGAAGAACCCTGGAATGTGAAGAGAGAGGAGACAGTAGCCAAACATGCAGGTAGGTGGGAGTGAATGAAGCAGATGACACAGGTGAGAGGGGCCAAAGATCAAGGAGAAAGCCAGACCTTAAAATGTTAATTGAGAAGCTCTGGTAAAATCAATCTAATTTTTGAGAAGCCTAGGATTATTTCTCTTGCACTCATAGAAGTACATCTTCTTTCTCATGCTTTTAAATTATCTGAGGATTGATTCTCCTTAAGATTGTGAAAAAAATCATCTGAGAATCATTTATGCTTTAGTGATCGTCCATCAAATTCACAGTAAGAGCCAAAGTCCTCCCCTTGGCCTGTGAGGGGATGATATGACTGGTCTTCCATTCCTTTGGAGATCTGGGAAAATGTTTGCATATTTCTGGCTACCTCTATGTTCAACCATTTTTAAAGTTCTGTTTTTTGCCTCATGTCAGAAGTGTGTGAACATAGTGGGGGAAATAGTGGTATTTGGTTCAGAAATTTCAGGAATACTGTAGACAGATGTCAAATTTTTTTTTTTTTTTTTGAGACAGAGTCTCACTCTGTTGCCTGGGCTAGAGTGCCGTGGTATAAGCCTAGCTCACAGCAACCTCAAACTCCTGGGCTCAAGAGATCCTTCTGCCTCAGCCTCCTGAGTAGCTGAGACTCAGGCATGTGCCACCATACCCGGATAGCTGGGACTCCTGAGTAGCTGGGACTCAGGCATGTGCCACCATACCCGGATAATTTTTCTATATATATTTTTAGTTGGCCAGTTAATTTTTTTATATTAATAGTAGAGACAGGGTCTCGTTCTTGCTCAGGCTGGTTTCGAACTCCTGACCTTGAACGATCCACCCGCCTCAGCCTCCCAGAGTACTAGGAATATAGGCATGAGCCTCCATGCCTGGCCAGATGTCATCTATTTTATGTTTTATTAATTTTCTATTTTATGGAGGTTTCCAAGACAATTCTACAGAAATTGAGACTCTAATTTCATCAGAGTACAAATCCTCTCCATTTAATTAAGTATAAATTACACATTAAATGTTAAATATTTAATTTAAAAATATTTATTTTAAAATGTAATTATATCTTTTACATCAAAAGTTTCTTTTTCCTAATCTGAACTAAGATTAGGAATTTAAATTGTTTATTCACAATTTCCACATGTGTAAAACAGTTTAATGTACTACTTTCCACATAGAATTCTGAACTAAGAACAAAGTCTGTAGGGACCTTATTGTATACTGAATTTTGACTATTACCTTATTTTATAATTTTGTTTGGTAAGTATGCAGCTTACTGAGAATGTGTCCTTTATGTTGATTTGTTCATTCATTTAGTCTTTGTTTCTTCCTGATATGTAGATATTTTTACAAATATAAATTTTATGTTTTTGAGGCATATGTCTTGATAATTTGATATGTGTACATTGTGTAATGATTATTAACACATTGAACTTAACATATCCATCATCTCACATAGTTGCTAAATTTTTTTGCAGGGTGGAAACACGGTCTATTCAATCTACTTAAGAGAGTATTAATTAATATCAAGTATACAATATGGTACTGTAGTCCTGTACATAAGATCCCCAGAATTTATTCACTTTGTAAATGGAAGTTTGTAGTCTTTGGGAAATATCTCCTCATTTCTATCTCCCCTCCCCGACCATTGGCACCCAACATTCTATTCTCTACTTCTGTGATCTCTACTTTTTTAGATTCCACAAATAGCTCAAATCATACAGTAATCATATTTCTCTGTTTTATTTCAGTTACCATAATTTGCACCTGGTTCATCCATCCATTTTGTCACAAATGTCAGGATTGATTTTTTCCTTATGATTGAAAAATACCATATACTATGAATTATCTGCTATTGATATAGGAGAGCAAATATCTCTTTATATTGTTGATTTCATTTCCTTTGGCTATATACCCAGAAGTGAGATTGAAGGATTATATGGTACTGTTCTTTTTAATGTTCAAGGAGCCTCCATACTGCTTTCCATAATGGCTAATCAGTTTATACCCTCTGACCTTATACAAGAGTTTCCTTTTCTCCTCACCTTTGCTGACATTTATTATCTCTTGATTTTTTTATAACAAATTATAATAGGTATGAAATGATATCTCATTGTGTTTTGACTTGCATTTGTCTGATGAATAATGATGTTGAACATTTTTTCATAAACCTATTTGTCACTGTTATGTCTTCTTTGGAGAAATATCTACTAGTAATTTACACATTTGAAAGTCAGATTTACTTTTTGGGTTTTTTGCTATTGAGTTGAGATCCTTATATATGTTAGTACATGCATCAGATATATTTTCTTTTATTTCTTGGGTTGCTCTTTGTTTCCTTTGCTGTGGAGAAACTTTTTATTTGATGTAGTCTCACTTGTTTTTGTTTTTTGCTTTTATCGCTTGTAGTTTTTGATGCGATATGAAAAATCATTGCCAAGGCTAATGTCAAAGAGATTGTTCCCTATGCTTTCCTCTAGAAGTTATGTCGTTTCTGATATTATATTTAATGTTAATTCATTTTGAGTTAATTTTTGTATTTCGTTTGAATGTTCAATTTCATTCTTGTGCATTGGGATAGCTACTTTTTATTATCATTTATTGAAGAGACTATGCTTTCTCCTTTGTGTCTTGTATCTTGGTGCCCTTGTCAAAAATTAGTTCACTGTATGCTTATGGGTTCTTTCTGCTTTCTCAATTCTTTTCCATTGGTCCATTTGTGTTTTTATGCCAGTATGATAACTCTTTGTTAGTATATCTTTGTAATAGTCTTGAAATCAAGAAGCGTGAAGACTCCAGCATTGTCCTCTCTCAAGATTGTGTGGCAATGTGGGGTCATTTGTGGTTCCATATTTCAGCAAAAAAATATTATTGGAATTTCATAGGGATTTAATAGGAATTGTAGATGGCTTTGTAGAGTATGGACATTTTATGTTAATTATTCCAGTCCATAATAAGCAAAGGATATCTTTTCATTTATTTTCCTCATCTGCCAGGAGTTAGCTACTCTCCCAGCACAAACAGATCCAAGGCAGAACCATTGCAAGGCATTTGGAAATAATAGGTAATAAAGAGATGATATATAATAGACGGAGAAATGATCGAGACAGAGACAAAGTGCAATTTAAATGATGGGGGAATTAGGGGATCCTCAGCATTCTCGCAATCTGAGACCATGAGGGAAGTCCTGCATCAGTATTTATTGGTACAGCAAATAGTTGTCTTTTGTTAGAGAATTACATATACAGTTCATTTTTTGAGGTTTCCAGAGGAACCTTACCTAATTCTGTCTGCAAGAATAGACGGTTACATAGTTTTTCTAAAGTAAGCATGTTAAGCCCTAAGTTAGAAACAGACAGCTGAGCATACAAATTATCTTAAGATAAAATGTATAAAATGAGAACACTGAATCTGTGTACTACTCTAATCTACTTCTAAACATAGAGACGTGGTCAGGAGTGAAGCAGGAATAGCCTTGAAGTCTAGGATAGTCCCAACTGCACGTTATCTGCTGAGCAGATATTTTAATCAGCTTCTCCGCTAAAGACCCAAACTGAGCTGCTGCCTTGCAAAAAAGCTCAAGGCAATGGCCGGCAGCAAAGAAGAAATGTTACTTTGCAAACATCCTCTGACAATGCCCCTTGTTGGAAGCAGCTTCTATTCTGTGAACTAACATGTCCACAGATTCCTTCAAGGCAAAGCCCTGCAAAACACCTGAAATCTTTTCACATCTCTTAGCCTATTTCCCAACAATCTTCTATTATATTTGTTAATGTCAGATTTTATGAATAGTTTACCTACTTCCTTTTTTCAATTGAGACTTAACAATTTTATAGTATTTAATTATATTATAAGTGGGATTGCTTACTTTTTTCTCAGTTTATTTATTTATTGTTGTTGTTGTTGTTATTTTGTGGGTTTTTTTTTAAGACAGTCTTGCTCTGTTGCCTGGGCTAGAGTGCTGTGGTGTCAACCTAGCTCACAGCAACCTCAAACTCCTGGGCCTCAAGCAATCCTCCTCCCTCAGCCTCCCAAGTAAGCTGGGACTACAGGCACTCTGCCACCACACCTGGCTATTTTTTTTCTATTTTTAGTGGAGACAGGTCTCACTCTTGCTCAGGCTGATTAAAATGTCTGCTCAGCAGATAATGTGCAGTTGGGACTATCCTAGACTTCAAGGCTATTCCTGCTTCACTCTTAGACTCCTGACCTCAAGTGATCCTCTCACATTGCCCTCACAGAGTGCCCAGCCAGTTTATTTTTAGTGTATAGAAATAGAACTGAGTTTTGAATGTTGGTTTGGTGACCTGCAACTTTAGTGAATGGGTTTATTAACTCTAAATTGTTTTGATATAGTCTTTATGGTTTTCTATATATCGGATCACTTCATCTGGAAGCAGAGAGAATTTAACTTTTTCTTTATGATTTGAATGCTCTTTGTTTCTTTTTCTCCATTGCTCTGGCTTGATCTTATAGTACTATGTTGAATAAAAGTAGTGAGATTGGGTATCTTTGTCTCTTTTTGATACTAGAGAAAAAACTTAATGGCATATCACTATATTGAGTATAATGATATCTGAGGGCATATTATATATGATCTTTATTGTGTTGATATATATCTTTGTATGTATATTGTTTCAAGTTTTTATTAAATTGTATCGAATTTTGTCAAATGCTTTAATAAATCTTTTAAGATAATCATATGTTTGATATCTTTTTTCTGTTATTGTAGTTTATCATTTTTATTAATTTGTACATGTTGAAACATTCTTGCATCCCAAGTATAAATCCTACCTCTTTATCACATATGATCTTTTTTCTTTTCCACTCGCCCCCCCATGATCTTTTGAATATGTTGATGAGTTTGATTTCTAGTATTCTGTTGAGAATCTCTGCTTGTATCTTCATCAAAGATAATGGTTTGTGGTTTTCTTTCTTGTATTGGCTTTATCTGGCTTTAGTATGAGGGTAATGATGGCCTTATAAGGTGAGTTCGGAAGTATCTCCCCCTTTCAGTT